CCTTGTCAGCACAATACTGGAACCTCTTCTGCAGGAAATGTACTCTGTACTCGCAGGGCTACGCAGGCGCTTTCACATGACCTTTTCTTCCCCCTTTTCATTGCGGGTACAGCGTGCCGCGGCGACAAGCAGAGGCAAGCTGCAGTCGAGCAGCTATACCTCGCCTCGCTATCCACCACTGGACTATGGTTCAACAACACGTCACTGCAGTTCTTGCAGGTATTTTGGGCAAGTGCAGCAGTAGATACGGAATGCTGGATACAGTTCGCTCGAGAGAATGAAGCACGGTTGGGCACCTTCATTGCCTTCTAGAGAGCGTGCTTGAACGAAAGATACCCACAAACGACCGTTTCCTCTTACGTAATGCATTTAGCCTTTTATCATCAAGTCTGTGTGTTGGACAATCTAATTCTGGTTTTCGATCCCCAAATTAGTATCTACGACCATCGGATGGCAATACCACCAGCAACTTGTTAGCAGTAGCTCCGCCAGGAGTTTGACTGTTGCACTGAATGTCGGCCACAGAGTCGACGCTAGCCTCCAATAAGCTAGATAGCAGGTCCTGTATCTTATTTCAGGATGAAAAGAAGTCGGTCTTTCTCCTGGATATACCAAGATCTCTGGAGGAAGCCCAGGTCCTGCCGGGTCAAGCCCCACCACGCCGCATCCTCTCGGGCGTGCCCATCTCAGCCCCTTTCCCGACGCCAGAACCTAAGGATGCCGACAGCAGACGTCATGGCCAGGAGCCCTCGGCTTTGTTGGCAGATCTCATGACAGGGGCAGCCGTAAAAGGAGCTGTCGACGTGCTGTTGGAGCATCACAAGGGCCCATTCTGTCTTTCTCGAATCACGCGGCAGAACGAGACCGCGGCTCGGTCTGAAGCCGAATTGACTCATTTCATCCCAATCAAAAGCCACTATTTTGACGGTACCGTCGAGGAAAAGAGAAGAAGTTTCATCGAAGAGGCGCCATCCTTTGATCTCATACTTCTGGACCCTCCTTGGCCGAATCGATCCGTGAAGCGGAAACGCGACGGCTATGCCACCGCGTCGAACGTAGCTGCGACAAGATCTCTGCTGTCAAAGATTCCCGTTGCATCTCATCTGGCCGCAGATGGACTTGTCGCTGTCTGGGTCACCAACAAACCCAGCCTCGTTGAGCTGTTGACCGCCACTGGCACAGGTATGCTCACCGAATGGGGGCTGGAGCTTGTCACCGAATGGACGTGGCTCAAGATCACGTCAACGGGGAAGCCAATGTTTGAGCTCGACTCGACTTGGAGGAAGCCTTGGGAGCGGCTGCTCATTGCCAGACGAATTGGAAGCCGGGCCAAGGTACCGCAGAGGGTATTGCTCGCAGTGCCGGACATTCACTCAAGGAAGCCTAATCTCCGCCCTGTCTTCGACGACGTGCTCCCACAAGGGTTCGTCGGTCTCGAGGTGTTTGCGAGGAACCTTACAGCCGGGTGGTGGAGTTGGGGTAACGAGGCCCTTCGCTTCCAAGAGCGAAACCAATGGTTCAACTTGAACGAGGTCGATACTGCTGGGTATACCCCAAGGGCACCCCACGATAAGTGAGGGGAACGGTTTGAGAAAAAAATCGCCTTATTTTATGGTCCCAAGCTTGAAACACGTGTTGTACAACCCACGCCTTGAATGGACAGTATGATACATCTTTCCCCCCCTCGCCCGCCGTGTCCTCGGCCTCCATCACGCCTGCTTCTCCCACTTCTCGTCCAGCACCGCATCCGTCTTCCACTCGGCCTGTCCCTTCAGCAGCATCTCCGCCCTCTCCTTCACCGCCTTGCGGTGGCTGGTCATGGGCTCCTTGCTGGGGTACTTGAGCTTGCCCGATGCCTGCTCGTTCCTCGTGATATTCTGGTCCGCTTGGCGCTTTTCGCGCGCATCCCAGAGCTTTTTGTTCCAGGGCTCCAGGTCCTCGGGCACTTCGGGCCATACAAATGGCCGCGTGAGCTCGACGGTCATGAACTTGATCGACTTGGGGTGATAGGCCGCGCCGCGTCCGTCAAGCTTGCGCTCAACAGGGGGCATCTTGACCCAGCTGCGAACGGCGGTCGTCTCGACGCCGTAGAGGTTCCAAAGGTAGTCGCGGATGTCGAACTTGTTGAATCGCAGGGGGACCTCGAAGGTGGCCCAGTTTGGAGGGTTGTGGTCCTTTCGGTGGAAGGTGATTACATGGTTCGGGCTACAGGCCCGTCAGATTGAGCTGGAGCAGGGACAGAGGTTACGTGGAGATAATACGTACAGAAAAACATTCTTCTTTCCTAGGCGGAAAGGCGCCTTGGCTAGCGCTTGTGCTGGCTGCGACATGTTGTGATGGATGAGGTGTTCAGCACGACGTCGACGGCCTGGAAGTCGGCTGCTTCAATGTGATCCAGACAGCCAAAAATTCAGGGAGTCTTTCTTGGTCGCGTTGATTGGTACAGTGGGACCCACCGATGAGGCACGAACATCCAATTATGTAAGCGTACCTCCTCCTCACCCCACTTTCATTGGTCAGACTAGTACAAGCTGTCTTGACATTGCAAAACTCAGCATCGCAGAATCTAATGCCCGATGCGACTCGATTGCTGTTTCATGAGGTTTTGAGTGACATCAATTCTCGCTGAAAACTTGACCCGGAGTGCCGAGCAAGAGCTGTTTGATGGACTGGCTTATACGAAGGACGCCAGTCAGGTGTTCGTCGTGGATCAGGCATCACAACAAAAGGTCATCGACAGAGGAAATGAAAGATCTCAAGCCAAGCATTTATTCCTATAGCAAACAGAGAAGGCGTTAAGATCCTTCAAAAAAAATATAACCATACCCATAGCGAGCCTCTTGGGGCTGCTCCTTGTTCGCCTCGCTGTCTATAAATTACACATCAAGGCCGTCGACGACGACACCCTTAACCCAGTTCCACTGCATCACGCGGGCCACCTCGTTAGCCGACTCCTCCGAGATGAGAGCGCTGACCATGTATAGAGCCGCATCTATACCAGCGCTGACCCCCCCGCTCGTGACAACGCGAAGACCGCCGAGACGCATCGCTGCGCGACGAGCAACGGATTCGCGTCGTCCTGAGCCCTGGAAGGAAATGCTGCCCTTTCTGTTGTGGTTATTAGTACGCGAACCCATGCCGTGAGGTCATATTTGGGGCATACCGGGCATTGGAGGGGCGACGGCCAGCGTCGGATGTACGTCGAATGTAGGGGTTCTCGTCCTCGTCGCCAATGTCGAAGCGGAGGTTGTTCACGACATAGCGAGCGCTCTCGATGACGTCGGTGCGCTCACCGAGAGTCTTCTGCGCAGACTTGCTGCAGAGGTTCTCAAAAGTAGTGAGGAAGTCGGGGTGGGTGGTAGCGGACAAGCCGGCAAGGATGCCCTGCTTGGCGAGGAAGAGAGAGCCGGTGCAAATGGAAAGAAGGGTACGCTCGCGAATGGTATCCTTCTGCTGAAGCTCGGAGTACGCATCGATGAGCTGAAGGGGTTCAGCCTCACTTTTAATGACGGCATCAGTGCCGCCGCCGACAACGACGAGAACATCGAAGTCATTCAGGCGCTCGTGTGCCTCCTTGTAGGAGATCTGAGAGCCAATGAAGACGCCCTGCTCGGACATGACCTTGGGCTCGGCAGCGGCCACGGTGCATTCGAAAGCCGTGGTAGCTGGATGTATAGTTAGCTAATGGTTGGCCATTGTGTGTGAGGTGATCGTCACGAATGCGGGGTCCAAGAGAGGGGTCAGGGGATAGGGTTTGGACAGCCACACTTGCTCGTCAGGGGATCGAGCTGAGCACTTACACTTGTCATTCTCGTAGTTGGCAGTCGCAAAGACCTCGAGAGGACCGGCAAAGTCAGTAATGTTGAAGTTGGGGTGCAGGGCGAACAGAACCTCAATCGGCTCGTCCGCCACTGCAGAAGTCTTGGTTGCCATCGTGCCGGTATTTGGTGGGGTAGGTGAGTTTTGCAGTGGGGGGAAGCGTGTCAAGACCTTGAGGGCTTTGGGAAAGATATACCGCGTCAATTGGGTATATAGTAGCTCGAGATGTTGGGTGCAGTAGAACAGACAGTTGATGAGTGTGTGATGATGATGGAATGGGAGGGGGGGAAGGAAGAAGAGTAGAAACGGCCGGAGAGGAGGGGAAGAAGTAGTCAAGAAGATCGAATCGAGAGTGGAAGACCCGTGACCTCCCCGTGACCTTAGGTGAGGGGCAGATCTACCAAAGGCGTAACAGCTGAGCTTTAGGACAGCTCCTCGCAGCTCCCAAATGCATTCGAGGGGAAGCTTGACCAACGGCAACGGTCCTGCACCGTCTGGTCCAGCAAAAGAGCCACAGCAAGCAGCAGAAGCAGCATCAGTAGCTCAGGGATCGGTGGTGCCTTCCGTCATGCCAGGACCCACCTCCTACAGCATGAGATGCACTACCCCAGCGGTCCAGTGGTGTGTTTCTAGGGTCATGCGACAAACATTCCTACTCAGAATGCGGGGTAAACCCAAGTGAGCTCACACTGCACCGCGACGGGCTGAGACAGCTACAGAAACTGGGCCGCCTGCGGCAAGGACGGGTGGGTAATGTGGAGCGCCGGCACCTGCCCTTGCCTGCAGCTCATCGCGCTCCACCGGACCCGTCACCCGTGGCTGCTCGCCTGCTCGCCTGCACTCGTAGCCCCGCCCGCGGAAGCCTGGTCTGGCCTAGCAGCCCTAGAGTGCCCTGGCAAGCTCTGGGTGTCCATGCGACCTGCCGAGCTGCCCTGCAACATCAGCAGATTTGTCGTCTAACTGTTGCATGTCACCCCTCGGACCACGCACTTACGACCTCAAGCCTTGTCGTTGCCAGCCGACCCTATGAGGCCGTGAGACTTGTGTCATGGCGTCTTCTGGGTAAGTCGTATCGCTTTTCTTGTTCCAGTCCTACCTGCCGCACATGCGCGATATTCTGCCTCGGTCGCTCTTGAGGTTCGAGCTGTAACAGCTTCACCAAAACCCATCATCGACTACAAGCTTGGTCTGTCGGCGGTGTAGGACACGCGTGTGGGACGCGCAAGCTAACAAGAATATCCGTAGCTCCTTGAAAGACCTCTCTAAGGCCATCAACGCCTACTACAGCAATGCGCCGACACTCCCCCTCCCGGACGAGCTCACTCGAGCCATTGAGGCGTATCTTGACAAGCACGAGAAATTTGACGATCAAACCTCCGAGAAGCTGCACGATGAACTGCAGGCCATATACAATAGCCATGTTGCAGGCCAGCCGTCACGATATGCCAGCTTCATCGCTATCTTCCGCCGCTTCGTGACTGTGATCCGCACCCCAGCCCGACTGTTTCACTGGTGGGACATCATGGGCGAATCTGTCGAGATGAACGCTGTGCAGGAGAAAGGACTACTGGCGGAGTCGGCCGCAGGAACCATGGACCTACTGATGATGGGAGATGTCGATGAGCAAGAAAACAAAGCAGATGGTGCTGTGAATCCCTTTGCTGAACGCCTCTATCTCGCCTGGATGGACAAGCATCGCCCCATTGAATCCTCGCAGGGCGACGAGAGTGATATTGGAGGAGGTTCCACCGAACGTCCCATGCGAGAAGGCTTGATTGCGTGGGGCAAAAAGAAACCCAAAGTACGTTTTCATCTTTCGGACAACCATCTAGGAGCGACCTGCTGACCCAAGCCAGGATTTTCTTCTACTCATCGACAAATATTTTGTTAAGAGCGAGTATCGGAGCAGATCAGCGAGGATGCTGTGCGACTTCATTCAGAAACAACCTCCACACTTGCATTTGATCTTACAGACACCTCTTTTTGGAAACTTACTTCGTTGCCTCCAACACGATACCTCGACCACTGCAGTTTCTTTAGCGATCACGACTCTGATTATGATTCTCCCTCACATGCCAAGCTCACTTGTTCCATTCCTGCCGATATTGTTCAACATTTACGCCAGACTGCTTTTCTGGGACAACGAGCGTACTGGCACTGTTGAGGCAGCTTCGGAGGACAACGACGCACGAAGCCTCACATCCGCTTCCGGATGGGAAGCTTCGACTTTCTGTGTGGAGTCGGACGATCTCGAAATCCGTCATCTCGCAAGCTACTTCACCATCTTGTATGGAATGTACCCTCTCAACTTTACAGACTATATCAGAAAGCCCCAGCGCTATCTCAGGCATGCCAATGCCGCCGAGTCTGACGAGGTTGACGTTCAGCCGACCGAGATTCGCGATCGATCAGAGAGGTTTCGACAAAGTCACCTGTTGCATCCCAACTTTTATACTCTCACGATAGACTCGGAAAAAACCGACCTTGGGCGTTGGCTCAACTGCGAGCCGGCTGAGCTGGTGGCTGACTGCATGGCTCTCCGAGTGCCCACCGACACAGTCTCAAGCGAGCTCATGCCTGCATCTCAAGTTGCAGGGGCTGCCAGTTCCTTCTTTAGTGATGGGTCCGAAGGCCTTGATCCTGCACTTCTCAGTGGTTCAGGTCCAGACTCGAATATTGACAGCTGGAGAAACACACAGGACTCGGGGCGTGAATCGCAGGCGAGCAGCAGGATACAGTCGACAGTTCAGCGGCAGCCATCTCAATCAAGTCATCTTTCTAACAGAGATTCTACGGATACGCGAAGCCGTGGAGTTGACGGAGACAGCCCGACACTCCCTCCTCATCTTGTTGTGTCCAATTCGCATACGCACTTGCAAGATATGATACAGTCCAACAAGGCCATCAAGTCAGGCTTGCATCAATCTCTGGCGAATGATAGCGTGCCATCGTTGGCTCTAAGTCATGCCGATTCTTTTCCAGAAGGCCTGGCAAGTCACGTCCCGAGCCATGCACCAACGCCCGCGCCGGTGGTCCCATCGCCACTATCACTCGCTGGGACACAGACCCAATCAGCCCATTTGCAGCGGCAGGTCATGCTGCTGCAGAACGATCTGAACTTTGAAAGATATCTGAAGCAGCAGCATATGGCACACATTGGTGAGCTGCGGCGCAAGCAAGTTCGCGAAGCTGCAAGCGAAGCCGAGGCGCAGCACCTTATCCTGGCGAACCGCAATCTGAGAAACAGACTTGATGATGCGAAGAAGGCGGAGATGCAGATCAGAAAGGAATCTGAAAGGGAGTCGAACTCCTAGCCAAGAAATGGGAATTCTGACCTGTCAGCAAAGCTTCCGGTACACTTGAGGGAAGAGTCGAAAAAAGACCAAGACGACTGAGGGAGTCTTTGCGTAGAGGAGCTGCTGGAGCCGCAAAGCAGGAGGGCGAGAAGCTCCGTAAGATTGTGTGCGACGCCGAGGTGAAGGGAACTGAACTCAAGGCAGAACATGCAATCTGTTGAAATGGAGGCAGCTGGAGATCTCTCGTCTCAAGGCTGAAGTTGACAGACTCACCATGTCAGAGCGTGATCTTCAGGCCAAGGAGGTAGAGAGACAAACAGCGATGAATTCAGCAGC